AATGATAATAAATCTTGTAAAAAAGGAATTTATTGATTGTGATAAGATGCATAATTTTTCTCGTAGTTGAAGAAATGAAATGTATGAAATGAGAATACTAAAACTTACTAAGACGATTATTTTTCGAAAAGATCTGTTCTTTTCTCTTTCTTTCTCCTTCAGTAAACTTTAATAGCAATTCACAATAATTAATGATGACCACATGGTGGGAAATTTTGTTTGCAAGAAGTAAAGAAAATTTGATAAAATCATTTCGAAAGAATTTAGCAGTTAAGAGAGGAAAGGTGTTGAGCGGTAAAAAGTAAGCCACAAATATCAATGACATCAGAGGATTACAACGATGAAAGAAGTTAAAAGGACAAGCGGTAAAGCGAAGAGTTTCAGAAGCAAAATTTGAGGAAATGCAAAGGTGCTTCATCGTCGAAACAACTCTGCCAATAATTTTTTTTTGCAAAAAATTACAGCGGCTGCTTTCTGTCTCAATACAGCAATTGTTTATCCATTGCTTCCCATCTCTCCCTCTCTCTCTCTCTCTCTTTCTTTCTCTTCCACAGTCTCTTTATAATCCTTCTTAGAAAAAAAAAAAAAACTTTGACGGATTGTCAACAAGTAGCAGAAAATAACAGTAGAAAGTATGAGAAACTTTCCAAAAATTATTTCATCTTTTTTTGTGAGAAGTTTCAAAATCATTAAAGTAGAAATAGAGGGGAAAAGAAACGATAGAGAGAAGATTTGAAGTGGAAAAAAAAGAGGAACTTATGAAATTTACTACTGTACTTGGTGTTCATAATTTTGAAAAGTTAAAAAATTATTGCCTGAAGTGTGTGAAAATGGATTTAGAAGATGAATTTTTTGGATTCATTTTTTTAATTGAAATTTTAGTTTATTCATAGCTAATCGAAGTGATATTTAGCACAGAAGTGTAGCTAATAAAAATATTTCAGAAGTAGTTATAAAAAATAATAATAATTTCATGATTTATTTTTTCTTTCAGCAACAACAGTAATTTTAGGTGTTAAAAAATTTCCCATTGGAAAAAGTAATTATTTTTATAATATTACAATGATATGATAGTAATGACTATTTTATGCTAGTGATGCTAAAAGAAAATAGCGAAAAAAATGAAATTACAAAATTATTATCATTTCTTACAACTATTCATTTCTAAAATATTATTATTGTGGATGATAAAAATCATAATTTTATCATAAATAATCATTGTTAAAATTTTTTTACCGTAAATAATTATTATTGAAAAAACTGGAAGATTTGGTAATTCATGAAAAGATTTAATGGACATATACATATATTTATCAAAAATAATTATTTCAAATTAGTATGAATGCTCAATTAGTAATAAATTACATTTCATTTCAAAACGAATTCAAATTATTTGTAAGTAATTCAGGGAATATTCGCATTGCAGTTATTTTCTATTGAAATCCATTCTCGATCCGGTCAGTAAATGCTCGACAGTAAAGCACATTGGATAATTCAACAGTCATTTATGAATTTTCAGTATTTTTTTTCCTTTCAATTAAATGGTGAGTTATTTATTAAATTTGTTATTCATCAAAAGAAAAATTTAGATTTTTCTGTTGTCTTTTCCATTATTAGAGAGGATGACGGTGCTGCTCGTCATGCAAATGACTTAAGTAACTTAGAAATGAAAATTATCAAAAAATTTCAAATGAACAGATCTATTAATCCAGGAGGGCAACTTTATCTCCTTTTATTATAAACGATAATTAATTGAATAGTTCAACAATCTAAAGCTATCAAGCTTATTTCGTAAAAAAAAAACAATAATCGTTTTATCAATTCTGAATAGAAATATCTGTTTTATCACTTTCAACACTCATTCCTCTTTTATCACTTGCTGCTTTTCATTTTACCGCCACTTTCTCGTCATCTGTAAAATTTCCATTACGATTACTGAAGAATTTTGGTGTAAAAATTAAATTTCCTTTAAGAAATATTGATCGTGGAACTAAATATTTTATTGTAATTTTATTAGCAAAATCTTCGACTTCTTATTCTATTCGCTTTCCTTGGCTTAATTGTATTCATTACATTTCAATATATACTGCTAATTTTATGACCTCTAATATACCTATAAAAATAGAAATTAAAATTTTGCATGTAAGATTTGTTGTTTGTTTACATATATATACACTGTGAAAACAATAATTTTCACACTACAGCTAAACTTTATCAACAAATAACAAAGGCGTATTCGGTTCCGACCATTTAAGACAGTATAATTTAAATCTTCGAACGATGCAAAAAAAAACTTTAAAAATAAGACAAAAAGAGGAAATTATCATAATTAACTTTTACAACAGCAAGCAGTACGAAGGATCAATGATGAAAATGATTAGATGATTAAAATCAGATCTATTAATGGATCATTTTTTTTTCCCTTCATGATCTTATAACTTCGGAATCTTGCAAATGATTCCTATAAAAGATCATTGCTATCAACCATTTAATATATCCACTAATCAATTTTTGGATAATGAATTAGATAGAAAACAAAACTATTTCAATTTTTAATATGAATTTTCCAATTCAATTTCTCATTCCTAAAATAATATTATTCATTTCCAACAGTAAAATTTTCGTAAAAGATATCAATGCAGAAAAAAATCTCATTAGCTGCGGATAATACAGTAGAAATTTTAGGAATTATTCTTTTCTGAAACAACAAGAAGTCTGAAAGATATATCAAATGGTTCCATCAAATATACGATATGCAAAAATGTTTAGTTTAGTTTATGAATTCAATAATAAGCTTAAAAATTAGCAATTACCAAAATTCTTCAAATTTGCACATATAACATTAATTTTTTTTCCGAAAACTTATGGATGAAAAGTAGAAAAATCTTTTCAGATCATAAATTAATGGCTACATGAAATGCATTAATGATGGATTATTTTTGGACGATTGCCCGTTAAAATGGCTGTTTTCCGAAGTCGGCTACTTGGATAATTGACTGTTTCACGTCGGCGTATCATTACAGAATCCATGCTGAGCCAACGATGTGCCAACGCTTCATCAGTTCGCATACGTCTCCTAAAATTAATATTAAAAATTAACAAATTGACAAATTTATCTATCATTAATTATTATAAGAGCTATGCAAAAAGAAAAACGAAAATCTGAAGTAAGATTTAAACTAGTCTAAAAATATAACTTACATTGGATCTTTCTTTAGCGCCCAGGTTACGAATTTCAATGATTCTTCCGTTGCTTGTACTTGGATTAAATTTGGATTACATTTCTGATAAATTATACTTTCCTTAATTTCATCATCCGAATCATCAGCCGAAGCAAATGGATGGAATCCACTTAGTCTGAATTAATTTATTCTTTTATATACACAGTAACATAAAATATTTAAGCATAAAAATAGCAAGTTCTATTCAAATTTCGCTTTTCAATTCGTCTTTAGAAAATATTGTCTTCCTTTTTTTTCTCTCTCTCTCTTTTTCTCTCTCTGTAAAATTTGGTTTTCCATATAGAATGTATAAAATTTGTGTACTTTTTCATCGTTTGAAAAGAATAAGAAAAAAATTAAGTATAAGTTTTACTTACAAACAGAAAGTAATCACGCCAAGACTCCAAATATCAGTTTGGCCTGTAATAGGAACTTTTTTCTCATCTGTACGCAATATTTCTGGTGAAGTCCAGTATAGATTTGGTTTTAACGGTTGTTTAATTTCATTGCTAATTTTTTGTGCTGATGCAAAATCGGTAAGTTTAATTTGCCAAGATTGTCGAGACGAGAATAAAACATTTGTTGCTTGTACATCCATATGCACATAACTGAAAATTATGCGATTTTTATTTATATTTATACAATTATATTATTTACAGTATTGATTAAACTCTATTTACTTATTTATGGAAAGTCCATAAATAAGTAAATAGAGTTTAATTAATACTGTAAATAATTATACTATTTACTAATACGAAATACTATTCACTTATATTCATATAATTTATTGACAAGTACAATTTAATTAATATTATAAGTAATGATGCTGTCACCAATATGAAGTACCACTTACTTATTCGTTTATATTTATACAATTTGCGCATAAGTAAGTAAGTACAGTTTAATTAATATTACAATTATACTATAAAGTGATATAAAGTACCATTTACTGCCATATATCATTTCAAAAATTTTCATAATTAATATCATACCCTCTGAAATGCATCCAATGAAGAGCAGATGCAATCTGTACAATTACTCTACTTATTTGCTCCTCGTTATAACTATCACGATATGTAAATCGCTCAAAAATATCTTCCTGATATCGTTCCATAAACAAAAATAATAATTCATTTCTAAAATTGAATGGAAATTAAATAATTATTTTATTATGTCAGATTCAAGAATGTAATCTCAAAGAAAAAATTTGTAAAAGTTAATCCAATTTAATCTCTTGATCATTTATCAATACTATAAAATAATTTAAAAAAGTTATTAGAGACTTTTTTTCATTGCTCATTGATTATCCTAACAAATTTAAATAATTTGAAATTTTGATTAGATGAAAAATTCTAATATCCTACCGCTGATAAGCAGCAATTAGACAGGCAATATTTTCTTGCTGACACTCTTTCATAGCTTCAAATTCAGTGGTACCATTAGCACCCTCAACATTAACATTCCGAATTTTGGCTATACAATCAGCGTCTGATTCTCGAGATTTATCAATGGCAAATGCAATTTCACCGAATCGACCGCGAGGTATCGGAGCAATAAGCTATAAAAGTGTTTATAGCATTTTTATAGAAAAAAAAAAAACATTTGGAGTTTTCAATTCTAAATGCGAATTTAATTTCCCAAATTAAAAATATATTTAAGCAATAGAAACAAATCAGAATTATGATTGATTTATAAAAATTTTTAATTTCTCAATGTTTTTAATCAAAAATTGAGTTTTTAATTAAAATGGAATTCAATTAATTGGAATAGGAAGAGCAAAAGAAAATAATTGCCTGGAAGCGTTTCTCTGGCTCTTCTGAGACATTCAATGTCAAAATTTGAGTTTGTAGTTTTAAACCAATTTCTTCTACTTCGGTTTTTTCTTCATCCTCTTCCTCCGTAATCTCACCGAGTTTCTTAGATTTTGAAATTAACCGTGTTTGTGGCGGTTTTGAAATGACACATACACGACATTGCTCTTGAAGTTTTTCAATTTGAAGTTTTGGTGAACCTAAAATGTGCAATGAAATATTTATGAATGAATTTATATAATTCAATATATCCATAAAACACTGAAAATTACTGATTACTTTCGAGATTTCTCTGCAAGAACCTTTTTAAGTTTTTCTCTTCTAATTACTATACATTTTATAAGATTAGATCATTTCCAAACATTACTTTTACGAATCCTGTAAACTGAAGACTATCACTCATTACCGCATTGCTGTAAAATTTTGAATTTCACCAAGATGCCCTTTCAGCTCTAATAAAATTCAAACCTTTTGGATGTGTTTGTATGATTCGAGAGGTCAACGATGGAGCACCCCAACCGAATTCATTTTTAGCAGTCACACGAAATTGATAGATGCCTTGTGGTGTTAAATGTCGCACAACTGCTGCCTCATCTTCTATTTTATCCGAAACAAGACGCCACTCCGAGAAATGATCATTTTCACCTGAATACAAAGAATATGCAATTTTTTTTGTCATTTTAAAAATCAAATTTACATTCAATTTAAACTTTGTGAGCATTATCAAAAGAAGATTAAACTTCCAAATTGTGAATTCAATTCAAACATGGAAGTTTGAAATTATGAATGATAAAAAATTTGTGTTCATCTCTAAATTAAGCCTCTCATATTTCATCATTCTGAAATTATTCGGTAAATTTCAAAACAAACAATGTGTACCTGCTGGTCGAACTTCCAGTTTATACATGAAACATTCCAGGCCGTGACTCATTTGTGGTACTTCCCAAGTAATAAATACTTCAGTATCCGATGAAAGCTTAACTTCAGGTCGACCGGGTGGTGCCGGTGTATCTAAAATAAAAGGATAATTTTTGATTACATATTTGCACGTTCAACTCTAATTATACCTCCTAGATTAGAAAATTAGATTTCACATGAATGATAAAAGATACCTCCGATAATTAGTCGAGCAGAAGTCTTATCCACACCATGTTCATTTGATGCAACGCATGAGTATTCACCGAGATCGGTTATATCGATCATTTGAATTGTTAGTTGACAATGACCATTTTCATAAAATATCTAAAATTATAATGATAATGCAGTTTAAATGATAAGTTATTTAAAGTGAAAAATTGTAAAAATTGAAATGAAATATGTGCAAACCTTATGTTTATGATCATCCACAATAAGACTTTCATTGAAAAACCATTCAATGATTGGTTGTGGATTACCAACCACAGCACATTTAAATATTACTGTGCATTCATTTCCCATAAATGGTAGATCTTTTAATCGATTTCGGAAAATAGCACCAAAAGCTAAAAAGAATAATTTTTAAATAATTTCCCTATCTAATTTTAAAATATGATAGCTTCTCAAAAAAAAAAACTAACAAAGACATATCAATGTTTCAAAAAATGAAATTTGAAAAAAAAATTTAGGTAGCATTTTTTTTTTTACTTCCATTTTCTCTGGTTGCTGCTGGTATTGCTTTACTGATATCACTGCGAATACGTCTTATTGCACCAAGATGTGATCCACGCATATCACGTTCCAAAATTTCCACTGATTTTGCAATATTTTCATCTTCACGTATCAAATCAGTAAATCTGAAAGATCTTTGAATGATTCATTTATAATCAAACAAAAATTTTGAAATAAAACATTTTGAATTAGTGAAAATTTAAATTGAAAAAAGCGATAAGAACCATATGGCACCTTCTTCTTTCTCTAACAGTAATATCTTGATTACGATAACCGAGATATCCTTGATTTACCAATGGTGCACCATCACCCCATAACTCACGTCGATAATCACGAACACGTGCATTAAAGCCTGCACCACGTGTTGCAAGCAAAAGCGTTTCGGGACCAATCTAGAAAGTTAGTCTGACTGAAATATAATTCCCTTTTATGAGCTTTTTAAAATTATTTCAAACTCATAATTTCATTTCTAACTTTCCCAAAAATATTACAGAACATTGGAATAACCCTTTGAATGGATGTTCAGTAAAAAATTTAAAATTTAAATAATATTATAAATTGAAAAAAAATAGATGTTAGCATGAGAAAAATACTATCAATTTTTAAGTAATCATCGATAAAATTTCCAAAAGCAAAAGAGCACCACCCGAACTTTAATGGTATATTTTTAAAATACTTTCAACCATTTCAACGACAGCTTTTTCGCTTGTCGAGTAAACTGCGATCGAAAAACTCAATTATTCGAGTTAATTAATTACCTGATATCGACTTTCCCACGGGAATTCATCATCATCGATATCCGGTTTTTTGAATTCGATATCCTCATTATATATATTCTTTGGACGTAATCGTTCCATTTCTTCGCGCTGCAATTTTTTTTTGTATTCCGGAATTATAACAATGCCGCTGTTTGGTAAAACCGATAAAATTTCAATTAATCAAATGCCTAAAGTTAATGCTCGTCAATGAATTTAAATGCGAAATTAATACCGATTTCATCTATGAAAATGTACCAAACAACTGTTTATCATTAATCATAATTTTATTGATAACAGAAGCTTAAGCTTACTTCTTTCTTTCTTCTTTTCTTCATCTCCTCAATTTCATTCATTAAATTTTCAAATTCATCTTCATGCTTTCTCTCAATGGCCGTCTGTTTTTCAGGAATTTTTTCCACTTCAAGAAGTTGCGGTTTCGAAATTGTAATTTCTCCTTTTGTTCCTTGTTTGGTACCAATTACTACCTAACAACAATTGATAGTGAAATTTATAATAAATTTTAAAATTTAAAAGGAAATAAATGGATTCAATGAGGATGTAATAATCTCACTTAAATAAATAAATGAATGCAGATTAGGAAACAAATCAAAAATAAACGAATTAAAAAATTTTATTAACTTTAATTATAACAATAATTACTAAGGTTTAAAATTGAAATTTTTGATTATAAATATATGAAACTTACTCCCATAGTATATTCTCTTATCGGTGAGAGTAGTACAGGACTTTTTGTGCCAGGTAACGATGGTAGACTACGTGGACTTCGCGTATCCAACAGTACATCTAAACTTTTATTATCATTGTAAAATATAAAATGATTTAATAACTTTTCTTCGCTCTTGTTCTTTTGTTCACACCTGATCCTTTCAATCTCAAGTCCTCTAGTACTAAAACTTTTCATTATTTGAATTTGTACTGTTCATAAAATTACCATCGAGTACTAAGGAATGATTCTCCAGTCCTTCGAGAAAAAGCGGTGCACCAACCGGAATGCTTGGATCTGACTGTATTGGATATCGATACTGAAATTTTATAATAAAAAGAAAAAAAAATCAATTCCTACTTGTTGATCTCATTAGATTTCAATCAGAGTTGGCTGTAAGCAATAAACTCGAGAATGCTTAATTAGGATTTTTTAAAATTAAATTGCACAAATCAGAAATTAACCAACTATTTGAGCCAGCCTACTTCATCAGAACATTAACAGTATCAATCCTGATTTCAAAATATATCTTACTGTCCCATAATTTTCACATTTTCCTCCTCTATCTGCTACAATAACAGTTCTCTCAACCTAACTGGCCTATTTTTTTTTTCCTTTGAAATCTCAAAATTAGAAAAATCTTCTTTCCATCTTAACAATCAGATGGAACTGAAATGATTTGATTCAGGCGGAATGATTCAAATCCGATTACGATTTTAAAAAATCAGAAATCAGATTTTAAATAAATAAAATTATACTTCACTCGTAAGTATCAATATCATATAAAACTATTCTAAAACACTGAATAAACCGGAAATACCACATCAGTATTGGAGCAATATTCCGGGAGTGATGCACCAGCACTTCCTGTACCACCCGGTGAAGGAATTGATGTACCATCCAATGAAAACCCTTCCACTTGTGGAGTTGATGATTTGCTACGACTTTTCTTCTGCCTCATTTGTATCTGTAACAGGAAAAATTGTATGATAATAACAAATCTGAAGAAAAAAATAATAATGAAAAATAAAAAGTTAACAATATGATCAAAAAAAAAATTAACAAAATTTCATATAAAATTTTTGATAAAATTTTTTCCTAAATAAAACACTATTGGAAAATCAGAAAAAAGTAAAAAAATTGCAATTAATAATTGCAAAAATATGATTTGAAAATTTAAAGAGCAAAATTTTTATCGTCAAGGAAACATTTAAAGCTTGAATATAATTTTAGAAGATTTTACGCCGCTATCAACAAAGAAATTAGTCGCTAGAAAAGAAAAAGACAAAAAAGAAATAAAATTTCCATTCAATAGTAATTAATGAGTAGGATTAGAGGGAAATAGAAAAATTCCTCGGGAAAGAAATAATGAAAAGAATGAAAGATGAAACTAATTAAATTGACTTTTCACAAAGATCGTATTTTTTTTTTTGAAAAATTTGTTCAAAATAATAAGTCGATAAACTTGAAGATTTCGCTTTTCTCACTGATTGATCAAAAAGATGTTTGACGCATCAAAAAAAAAGTTACCTTATAATAAATCTGACAAATTAAAAAAGTTATCCTGTAATAAATATCTTGTAATAAGTTACTTTGCAATAAATTTCTTGCCGCGAAAACAAAAAATGGTTTTAAATAAATCTTTTTAGTGCTATAAAAAGCATAGGAATAAGCAAAATAACGCTAGAAAAATTGAAGGTTGTGCTAAAGTTTACTTTTGATCCTTAACTGATGAAAATATGATAAAATGCGGAAAATAAAGAGTTAAAAGTATTTACTGCACCTGAAGGTTTTTTTTTGATTTCAAAAAATATCATTTTTATTTCTGTGCAGTTATGTTTTCATAAAAATTTCTGATGAAATAGAATAAGACAAAAATAGCTGTCAAGAATTTCCTCATTCCATAATTATTAACGGAAATTATCTCACCTCAGATATTTTATGCAATGATTCCGGTTCATCATGTGAAACTACTGAACCGTTTACCGATGTTTCCTCGGAAATATCCGATAAAATTCGATTTGCAATTTCTTCTTCAATTTCACGATGCTCTCCGTGAACGAGCTGCAACGGCAACATCTGAAATTTGGAATTGTTAAAGAGAAGGTAGATTTAGACTTATAAAATTGCAAAAAATTTGATCAATCAATTCTTCGATTTTTCCGCAAATCAAATAATAGGAAATAGATGATCATAAGTTATAAATTATCATAAGTTAAATTCATAAAATAAAATCCTAGAAATTGACCTCTCCGTTCTTCTTCAGGGCCTATTTCTGAAGAAGATTGAGAGGTCAACTTCTTGCACAGCTTCTATTCTCTCCCTTTGTTACTCCCTGTCTCTTTCGTGAAATGAAAAATCAACGGAGAAAAATTAATTTAAATATTTAAAATTAATATATCTAAATATTCTCTTCACTAAATCTTGATGAGCTTGAAAATGGATATATCATTCACAGCTTTAATATATCAATTATAAATTATTGTTTGTAAAAATTTTCGCAACAAGTACACTGTTGAAACAGGAATGTCGACAAGAATCGATTTCTAGCCAAACTTATTTGTTAGCAATCTTCAAAAGTTAATCCGCAACATTTAAACTATAAAATAAACAATAGATAATTTTAAATTCAATCTAGTAATTTTGATATCATTTCGTTCTTTTTTTACATTTCGTACTCTTAAAAATATTTCAAAAATTGTGTCCCAATTCCTCTCCTACTTTTACTGTAAAAATTATGCAAAAATTTTCTCACCGTATCATCGAAAAAATCCGTTGAAGTACGAGGCTTCTGTTGCAGTAATCTTTGTGATGGCGTTTCACCCTTTTCCTGTGGTTGCAAATGTCGTTTTGAAACATTTTCATAAACAACATCACGTGGTGAAACACGATCTTTGATTTGTAAATAATCATAAATATCATTGGGCTTACAACGAGCTAATCCTTGTACACGCTGCGGCAAATTTGAACCAATCAAATTTACATTAGGAGTCTAGAAAATATTTTTTGTTTAAAGAGTTGCAATTTTATAATTAACCTAAAACTTTGTCTGACAAATTATGGCGGTTCGAAGAAAACATCAAACGAAATTTTGAAAGTTGTTTACAACATAGCTATCAAAAAATTTTTACACATCATCACTATTCTCAGAGTTAAAATAGCAAAATGAGAAAGTTTAGTATGGAAGAAAAAAAATATTAAATTTCATATTCATTTCAAGAAAAATGATAGAATGAAAGAAAAAAAAAACTCTAAACTGGGACTGTATAAAATTTTAAAAACTTTTAAAAAATCATTTCTAAAATTTCAAAAAGTGGTGAAAATTTTCAGATAATACCAAAATTTTTTTTTTATTTTTAAAAAAGTTTTGCCATAAAATTGCAAGTGCTTCAGATGTTTAATAGATTTTTTTTTGAAGAAATCAAACATTGCATACATTTTTTCCTCATCCATGCATATGGAAATTATTACAAGATTATTACAGTCTCTTAATAAAATAATCAATTAATTCCACTTAACAACAATTACAATAATTTCTATAATAATAATTAACCAGTACTATTTTTCGCAAACCTGAACAGTGCTCATTAATTGATCGGTTGGAGTTTGCTGAACGAATACTCGTCTTTCCTGAAAGTAAATTTGCTATTATTTATTAACATCTAATCGCAAAATCTAATAGTTATATGGCAATTAATTAGTGTTAAAAAAGAATAACCATATCTTTTTTTTAATAATCGATATAGTGATATTTAATATTCTATTATAATAATCCAGTATTAATTAGTATTTAAAAATGTGGAAAATTTATACAAAAAAATTGATTATTAAATCATTTTTAAAACTATCATTTCATTATGCTAAAAAATTACCAGCCATTTATGCTTATATTTAAATTCTCGTAAACATTCCGATGTAATTGGAGCATTTTCCAAGAATTCTTCTGAAAGCCATGGATGACGCAGTGCTTGGTCAATATTTAGACGACCACTGAAAAAGAAAATATTGATAAAATAATTTATCAGTTAAATCAATTAATGTGACAATCGGTGACAGCATTATAGAGTTAAAAAAAAAAGAAATGGTGTTAAATATAGTAAGCAAATACATCACTCTTTTGATATTAACTTTATTTTTAATTAAAAATCATTAAAATTATTACCGTGGATCAAGAACTAGTAATTTTGAAACGAAATCCTTAGCATTACTGGAAATTTGATCGAATTCCTCAATATCAAATCTATACTTGCCTAACATAACATTACGCACCGTTTCATTATCACTGTCACCAAGGAACGGTGAAATACCGGAAAGTCTGAAATGACATTGAATGTAATTCATATTTGAAATTTTAACTATTTAAAAAATAAGTCAAATTGAATTATCGATCCAAATATTATCAAAAAAAAAAGTGAATTGCAACAATGGAAAACTTACAAAACATAAGTGAGAGTACCAACACTCCACAAATCGGAAGCAAGAGTAACCGGAGTACCAGCCGCAATTTCCGGTGAAACAAATTCTGGACTGCCCATTATATTAGCAATTACTTTACCCCGTATCAACCGCCTTGAATTTATAACATTTTTTTTTTAGCAAAAATAATAAAATAAATAATTTCCTCAATTTTGCTTCCATTGAACATTTTTTTACAAAAAAAAAAATTAATCAATTCAGTCCTTTTTAATGATATATTCAATAATTTCATTTCATGTAATGTTTAATTAAGTGATACTAATATTTTTAATTTTTTTGAGTAAAATGATTCCCAATTTTTTTGGAACAATTAATAATTATAGCTGATTTTTTTTGCCATAACATCCTACAAAAACATCAATTTTCCAAATGGAATTTGAAACGATCACTTTTTTGAACTGAAAATTTGACAAAACGATGATAGCTATCATCAATTGCTTTTTAAATTGCAACTTTACTACTATTATTATTACTGCAAAACTTAAGGAAAAGAATTTAACTAAGATTATTTCATCTTCGAAACGATAGAATAAAAGCAGAGAATATATGGCAAAAAATCGGTTTAAACCAAAAAAAACTTTGACCTTTAAATATATGACCTTTAAAAAAGATATTTTTATTTTCCAAACTGGAAAATGATTTTAAAAAAGATTTTTTTAATTTCCAAATTGAAAACTTTTCCATATTAAACAAACAGCATTCCATCATACTGAATCACCTGTTTAATTTAGCAATGAAATATATTAGATAAATTTCGAGCTAACTTCCATGAATTCAAAAATATCAATTTCTAAANATACATTTGCTATTTTATTTTTTAAATAAAANTNAAAAATCAAAATAAAATTTNTTTATTCAAAATTTTCTTATACCTGCTTTGACCGAAATCAGCCAATCGAAGATGATCATCTTGTAATAGAATCACTTCAGGCCTAATATCTAAATGAGCGATTTTCTTGTCGTGCATGCATTTCAGTGCATGCAAAAGTTGCTTCATAAATACTTGCACTTGCCGTTCGCCAGTAACATGCTCTGTTTTTTTCACTGGACTCGAAATTAACGAATCCAACAATGAACGATTTGCACTTAAATTAAAATTTAGTAATAATGAAGACATTTCTGCATGGCTTAATTAACTACTAGCAACAATATAATGGAGTAGAAGTAATGAGTTCAAATTTATACAATTAAAATTAATAAACAGTATATGAGGCCTTATTATTTGAATTTTTCATGTTAAATTACGATAATAATTTGAATATTTTAATTTAAAATAATTTTGCAAAAATTAGAACAAATAGAATATCTTCTTTAGCGATTGATAATATTCACAAAATTGTTAAAGGCTTTGAAAAAGCGAATAATCCAATAACGGTTAATCAATTATATCAGACGAATTGCAAAAATTTCAATAATAAAATAGCAAGATCAGCGCAGTTAATACAAGCATCCTCGATGATAATGATAACGATAATGAATACGATAGTGATAATGCTGATAAATAATTGTCAACTATCCATTCATTTTCAGAAATAAATAAATTAGTGCGACATGAAGCATAAAAAACAACACATTTAATTGTAAAATTATCTTTACGAATTTTTTCAAAGATTTTTCGTTTGAAAATAAAAATTTCCACTTATAAAATGTAAGACAGAAATATAGGAAAAGATGTGTTTTATTCGAATTTTTTTATAAATAAAATAGCAAAAAAGATTGCTATTATTTAAACAGTATAAAATTTAACTTTTTTGTGACAAAACAAATATTTTTCAAGAGATTCCGAATGAGTGAGGAGAAAGAAAAAGCTGATCTAAAATTAAAAAAGACAAAAGAAGAAAAAATTTTTTTTCTGGGATGAATTAATAGAATAAATTGACGGTTAGCATTAAATTCGATATTACAGTACGAAAAAATGGAAATGAATTGAAAGGTAAAAGTAATACAGGTGTGTTTTTTCTTGTTATGAACTGAATTGATCAATTTAATTGGGTGATTTTTTTTGAACTTTCATAATTGAAATGTCTTTTTTTTCTTGTCGAAGATATCAAGCATTTATTTGAAAATTTCAATGGATAATGATAAACTATTTTTATCCATTGATTTATTTATTTGATCATTTAGCTATTAATTATGCTTTTATTTAACAATTTGAATATTTTATTTTAATTTTTTGAGTTCGTTAAATTATCAAATAATATTATCAAGAAAAAAAAAGTTTACCAGATTGATTCGTAAACCATTATGATAATAGAATACAGTGATGAGATATTGTAGAAGATATATTGTCAATAGCAATAAGTAAGAATAGCAGAGATTGAAAGCATTCAGGATCGTTGATAACAGTGCAAGCTAACTAACAGGGAATGAATGATTCGGAATGAACATTTCATTATTCATTGATTTCATCTCATAATTATTGCCCGTCTAAATGGATGAACTCCCATTTCCTTCAATCCGTTCTCAATCTATCGATCTTCTTAAACTTTTTTTGAAAGTTTTGAATAACTAAATGATGGAAGAATTATTTTAACATTAATTGTATTCACTTTTTACACTCAATTTTTGAAACAACAAACAGCGGAGGAAACTTAAATGACAATTATGAGGGAGAGAGAGAGAGAGAGAGAGAGAGAGAGAGAGAGAGAGAGAGAGAGAGAGAGAGAGAGAGAAAGAGAAGGAGAAAGAGGAATGAAATATATGAACTAAATGCTCAATCAAATAATCAATTCATATTTTTTTAGAAAATGCAGGAAAAAAAGCAAATTTTTAAGTTTTAAAAAATTCTTTCAAAATTTGTTTTCAAGAGATGAATCATTGACGCATTCTTTTAAGTTTTTATCTTTCTATGCTTCTTTTTAATGCATATTTAATAAAACATTTGAAATGGATAAATTCGTTTAATAGAAAGGTGAATGCTTGAAGGAAAAAAGAAAGCGCCGTTGTTATATCGATCAGTAAATTAAATAATGAAAAGGATAAGATTGTATATTATAAAAACGATGCAGAAATTAATGTTTAAAATTGAATACATCCTTTTTGCTTTTTAAATTTGCCTTATTTTTTCGTATTTTTCTTTCGTGAAATTCCGGCTTGTATTTTTAAATCATTGCTTTAAACACCTCAGATTATTTTAAGTCTCTCCGTCATCTATTTACAATGTTGTGAAGCATTTAGTACTGCTTAAAGCTTCGAATTTCATCGGTGAGAGCAAATTAATTGCTCGCTTGTATTATTTCAAACTTTCTAAACTTCTTAAAAACAAGCTAAACCTACGAGAAATGCTATCTTAATGATTGATGCAGTATACTGAAATAAACTATCGAAGTATAAGATATCGCAATTATACAAATATATAACTTTTCAAATAGTGCGAGTGACCTGCACAACTCTTCCTGTTTTCAAATTATCTCAAATTTCACAAATAAATCAAACTTTTGAAATGCACATATACTTTCACGTTCTCATTTACAAATATTCAATGTATTGTTATTAATTAAATGCTTAAATTTGTCATTTACACAATATACTGAATACTTTCCTGTTAGATTGAATCTGTTTAGAATTTGCAAATTCAATTCTTGAATAAATTCCTTCCCTTTTTCGTCTTTTTTTAATTTATTAAAAAACAAAAGCTAATAATTGTAAACAAAAGTATTGATAATTTTCAAAATTTAATAAAATAATTTTAGTAATCCTTATTATCAAAATCCTCAAAAATTATATAAATTATTTTGCAGCAGTGATGGTAAAGTCTGGTTCGACCGTATCAATGTATCAAACGATTATCAGTTCTGTTTCGTGCTGTACAATTCATGAATACGTCACTTTTGAAATAAATTATTTTGCTGATTGATACATCCGTAATCGAATTAACCGACTGTTCTTCAATTCATACAAAATCATTTGTGTAATTATTTGTTGTCAAATTAATTTAAATTTATTAATTACCAAGAAAACTATGTAAATGTACGGAAAATTTTGAATTGGAATGTCGAAAATTTTCATCTGATCATTATTTTAACTGTTCCAAAAAAAATGTTTTTTTTCAAAATCTAAGGATTATCACTATTTAATATAAGACTTAGTAAAATAGTTATTTACTATTTACCAGTCAAGTTTTCGTTCCTGTAAAAGAAATGAAGAATTTTATTTTTTATTTTAAAATAAACTGTTGAGAAGACATTATTTGCCCTTCTAGCGTTTATTTATTTATCAAAAGTAAACTACCAATCGAAATAACTTGTAAAGTATTTTATCGAATCTGCTTAAAGTATTTTATTTTAGTTTTCTTTGATAAACTAAAATAAAATTGACATGTTTTATTGTAAATAAAATAAAAATGTTTTTCTCTTCATTTAGCCTCTCTGTTATCTCAATTTTTTTTTTTTTTTGAGAATTTATCTCATCCTTCTCACCACTAACAATAAATGTTGCTTTAAGTTAAATTAGTTAATAGAAATTAATAAAATAAAGTGATTTAAAAAATTCCAGATTCGATAATAATTTAGCTTTTAAACTTTCAGAAACCACCTCTAAATTCCCTTTAATTAAATCAGTTAAGGAACCAATAGATGGAATAATTGGAAGAAAAAAAATTTGGAAAAATTTAAGAAAATTTTAAGAGGCAGTTCAAAATATAAAATTTTGTCAATTTTCAGAAAAAAATTGACTTCAATTATCGTGATGATAGGATAGGGTTGTATTTCAAAGTTTACAAAATTTTGTCAAAAATTCCACTTAAACTGCAAGCCTTTTTTGCAAATCATAAATGTTAATTGACTTAAAATAAAGTTTTCCTTTTTTAAAGAAAAAATAAACAAATGAATGAAAATAAAGTCAGTTAATTAACCAATTAATTATTGTATCATCTTGCATTAGATTTTTTTTAAGTTTTAAATTTGTGATTATATCGGAATTTTTTCATTATTAATTTCTCTTTGCTAGCCATATAAAATATTACTTTTCATAGATGAGAACAGCAATGCCCTGATCCATTATTGCCTGATGAAGTTGTATGATATTCGGATGATCCAAACTATTTTGTACTTCAATATTACGAGCTAAATTTTCGTCTAGTGCACGTAACTGGGCCAAGAAACGTTTTTGAGTGGCAATTTCGGTGACATGAAATGGTGCCCCAGCGGCTGCAGCTCTGCAAATACAGAAAACAAATAAACAAGACCTCGTTTTGTCCCTAATTTGCATTGTTTACCTATTATTTAATAATTTGAATTGCTGTCACGTCATAGGATAACGTAACATCAATCAAAACGTTAGAACGTTTAAATTTCTAAGTAAAAAAATGCTGCAACTCTCTTTCTCTCTCCCTTTCTCTAATTGAAAAATCTCTCATATATTGCTTATTTCTTTTTTTTTCCTCTTTCTTTTTCTTGTTCATAAAAAGAATTCATCAAAAAATGAGATGCAATTTAAATTTTGAAATTGCAAAATCATCATATCAAATATCAAGTTTTGATTTCTTTTTTTTTTCAAACTCACAATTTAAACTACAAAATGGGTTCGGATTATTTGTTGTAATTTTACAAATCCAAACATTTCCTTCATTTCCGTGCAGCATTTTACTTTATTGACAACGAAAAAGTGCTTTTATGTGCTGTGAGGCCTTGTTTAGCTTTCTGTATTTGCTGTAGCACAAAAAAAAAACTTACAATCAATGAATTTATTTTCAGTTAAAAAAGCGCAAACTAGCAAAATTGCGCCATTTAAATTAAAATTATTAAAGTTTCATTGATTTTTTGAAAGTTTTTTTGTGCTATTCGATCCTAACTGTCCTGTTTGGGAAGGTAAAGAAGTTAAACAATCATTGCACAAAATTTGGGTTATTTATCTAAAAAACAAAAGCACAAAAAATTTAAATTCCGATGCGAAATTTCATTGTGAAATGATATGGAGCATTGCCGAAGTATTCCACCATCACAACTTCATGCCAGGTGCCCAATGCTAGATAAAAGCTAAAAGGCTGGAAAAAAAAGTCCTGAATAGCTGAAACTCAGCAAACCGGGAAAAAAATGGAAAGAAAATCAGAAAGCTATAACAATACCCCGATTTTTTTTTTTTTTTTT